AAGATCTTCAATGAATGTAGAAGTTTAACGGGGCTGGGAGAGTTAAACCCTCATTGAAGATCTTCGATGAATGTAGAAGTTTGAAGGGGCTGGGAGAATTAAACCCTCATTGAAGATCTTCAATGAATGTAGAAGTTTAACGGGGCTGGGAGAATTAAACCCTCATTGAAGATCTTCGATGAATGTAGAAGTTTGAAGGGGCTGGGAGAATTAAACCCTCATTGAAGATCTTCAATGAATGTAGAAGTTTAACGGGCCGAGGTAGTGTTCAGAGGGGGTCGCTGGCTTGATCTTCGAAGATGCAACATATATTCAAAGGGGGTGGCGGGGCTGATGTCTCAAGGTGCAACGTATTGTTCAGAGGGGGTTGGGGAGTTGATGTCTTGTGATGGTGAAGATGCAACATAGTGTTCAAAGGGGGTTCCAGGGCTACTGTCTCAGCTTGTCCGGTGGCTTCTCGGCTTCTCGGCTTCTCGGCTTCTTGGCTTCTCGGCTTCTTGGCTTCTCGGCTTGTGCCGGGCTTCTCGGCTTCTCGGCTTCTCGGCTTCTCGGCTTCTCGGCTTCTCGGCTTGTGTCGTACTTCGCGGCTTCTCGGCTTCTCGGCTTCTCGGCTTGTGTCGGGCTTCTCGGCTTCTCGGCTTCTCGGCTTCTGGTCGCATTTCTGGGCCCCTTTTGCCCGTGCTTTGTATCTATCTCTCTATCTCTCTATCTCTCTATCTATCTATCTATCTATGGATCGATCGATCGATCTATCGATCAATCTATCTATCTTTCCATCTATCTATGTATCTACCTATCTACCTACCTACCTACCTATCTATCTATCTATCTATATCAATTTCTATATCTATATCTATATCTATACCTATATATCTATCTCTATCTCTATCTCTATCTCTATCCATACCTCTATCTATATCTCTATCTATATCGCTATCTATCTATCTATCCATCCATCCATCCATCTATCTATCCCACTTTGGCTGACAATATCCACACCTACTGGTTAGCGCCCCTGAAAGACTCAACCCTGTCCGGTTTCAAACAGAAAATCATCCTCCTAACATCTCCAAACCTATTTAGTGCCGCTCCATGTTATTCTTCAAGGGGTCCGGATTTGAGGCTCAGAAAACTTCATTAGCTCGTTATTTCTTTTCGCATATTTATCTATCACCCATTGAGTTTTGGCTGTCCGGGCTACTAACACCCTTTAGAAGCACTATGACTTTACAGTAGCCTTAAAATAAACTATCCTTTTATTTTTTGCGAGTCAGGGCATGTCAGGGCAATATAAACGAAACCACATATTGAAACATGATCATCCGCAGCAAAAACCATCGACTCATGCATCACCTTCCTAACAGTCCGTTTAATATAGACACATATCTATACATACATGTAACTCATTCCAACCCTTTCTGGGTCCTTTCCAACTGGGAAGTGGGGCCTGGGAATTGCAAGAGTTGCCATCGCTCGCCATTTGTTTTCTCTGCCGCTTCCCCACAGCAGTGTTTGACATCCATGTTTCACTGCGACTCACGACTTTTCAAATCGTAAGTAGGTATAGATTAGGATGCGTTTGCATCGTCACAGACCCCATTGTAGGAATCTGGCATAGGAATCTGGTATCTTACACAAAATCTATAGGAACCTGGCGAATCCCTGTGCGCACTCAGCATCCTGGTGCCCATTGGCAAAAATCCACCTTAGATTCTGGAGATCCCAGCATTATACCCCCTTTTTGACAAAAGGCAAAGACTCAGAAATTGATGCTCATTTTGTGCCACACATAGTTTTCACATAATTAAAAGTGCCAAGCCGCGCCCTTCTTTCTTCCCACCCAGCAGCCTTGCACTCAGGGCCGCTGCCACCACGCAACTTCTTGGCTACCCATGCGTTGCTGTAGACCTGAGAAGAAAGTGAATGGGAAAAAAACATGGTTGCTGTAGACCTGAGAAGAAAGTGAATGGGAAAAAACATGAAGCAAAGAGGTGTAAGGAAGGAGCCGGTAATCAAACTTGTCATGTTCACCCATGCCGCTGCCAAGATGCAGAGTGCATCTTTTTCTTCAGCGCCGTAGTCTCATCGTCCTCTTTCTTGGGACCCTTCACTTTCTTATCCTTGGTTTTCTTTGTCTCCTTTGCGCGCTTGACTTCGCTAGCACGCGCACCTCGTCTCTTGCGTTCTGACTTGGGCTTCGGCTCGGGCTTTCTGCTCTTGGTCTTCGGGGTGCTCTTGGCCTTGGGTTTGGATTTGGCTGTCGCTCTCAAGGCGGTCGTGGCCGCTGCTGACTTTGGGGCAGGCTTCAGTCCCATGTCCAGCCTGTCCAATTCACGGCCAATGGCTTTCAGCTTTTTCTCAACATTCTCAGTAGTGGCTGGCTTGCGGACCAGCTCCTTGTCCGCGGCAGCCTTTTTATCATCCAAAAGCTCATCCACATATTCATCACCAACAGGTGAAGAGGCAACCACATCAGAAGTACGTCCATCTGAAGCGCAAAGCTCCTTATCCACTTTGGTGAGGCCAGGAGGGGAAATGGCACCGTCCTTGCCATTCCTTTCAATCTCCTTGTCAGGGAAAAGTTCCTTCGCCTTAGTTTTGGCGAACAGTATTCGGCTAATGCCATGGCGGAAACAAGAAAAAAGGCGATGCCCCCCTAGTGTCCCCTAAGTTCCCATCTGAGATTTTCCTGTAGTCACTACTGTAGCTGAGCCACAGGGGTATAGGGATCAAGCTCGGTCTCCTTAGTGCTGCCCGATTATCTAGCAGGCAACAAAAAACACCAAAGACATTACACACATAGGCACGCTCTCTCACACACACACACACGCACTACATGACACAATGCCATGAGATGTTCCTCTCACCGTTAGTCATGGCGAGCGGCAGCCATTTCTGGACAGCCATCTTGCAACTTGTCCGCGCCGAAAGCCTGGAGTGGAAGTAGGAGACGGTCCAAGTGACCGATTCCACAATTTAGTAAACATGTTTTTCCAAGGGGCTGAGTCTGGACAGAATGGGGAGAATGGACTCGGATACTCGCCCAGTTGGTTGTCCGGGTGGTAGCTATAGGGTGGTTGGCTCTCCTCCACAGACCTTAGATCAGAGGCCATACATGTAAACAAGCACATATTTTGAAATCATTTCCCACGAAATTGGAACTGATGGGGACCCTGAGAATGTTGCAGGGTCCATTCAGCCTTCTTCTCGATGGCATACTCAAACGGCTGGGGGGTCTCAGTTTCCTCCTCATAACATTCCTCACCACAGAACATAGGCTGGAGCAATCCATGCGGTTGATTTTCAACCACAAGGTGGTAGATAACTGTGTATGTGCATGCGTTTCCTGCCATACTAAAAAGCATGCATGCTATGATCAGGATATATCATGTGCGAATGTGATTCCAAAATCGTGGTCGAGACAAAAGCTAACACTTTTAGGTGGCATACATGACATACATATGTAATATGCATTCATGTCGATGGTTAAAGATTTGACCCAATCAAACCGTATACAGTGCAAATTACAAATTATGCAATATATATATATATATTATATACTGTGATATCATGATCAAAAAATGAACCAATTACTATACAATAAATTACAAAAACCCCTCTCCAGTACTGGCCCAATACCACACCGCTTGTTTAGTTCTTTGGAGGGCTGGACAATCTAGTGACGCTGGAAAAAAAAACAAACTCCCCTGCTTGGAGTACGGGGCGCAGTCCTCGTCACATTTCCGGCCCTTGCGGGCTGGTTTCTTGGTGGGGACGCTCGCTGCAGGCCTCTTTTTGGGGACTTTCTCAGCTTCACCGGACGCACGGGGCTCGGATTCCTGGTTGTCACCTTCACCTGCATTTTCATCATCATCATCATGATCTCTGTTGGGATCATGGATTGGCTCATGATCATCTTCTTTCGGAGGGGTGCTCTTCTTGTTCTTGGCCTTCTGCTTACCAGAAGCTTTTGCCTTGGGCACTGGCTTCTCCTTTTCCCCAGATGAATCATCAGATCCAACACGGCCAGGGAGGCCATGTACCAAGCTAGCACCTGGTAGGGCTAAGAGTTTCTACAAACATTGCTCGTTTTGAAACAGTCTGGCACAAGTAGTTATTTTGACTAGGGATTCTTACGAGCCAGCTGGTCTTGAGGATTTCAAAACATGAAGGGGAGATACCCATTATTTTCATGCTCATCAGACCCAGCCTTGGGAACTACCTGCAGCTGCCGAAGCCACTAGAGGTGGTGTCTGAACTTTTCTGGCGGATGCAGGAGCGCTCGGAGTCGGTCGTGGCACTGGACTCTGCAGGGACCGTGATGACAGCAAACGCTGTAGATTGAAAGCCTTGGCGGGGTATTGACTGAACTCAAGTTCAATTTTTTGTTTGGCTGCAAATCATCATTTTCAGTTTCTGGAAGAAAGTCTAGTGGCTGGTGGCCGGACGTTGGCAGACAAGGGAACTTCAACCACGGAGTCATCATCACTCTTGCTCTGAGAGTGGGAATCCATTGTTTTGTGGGCTGGGCTGCACGAGACCTAACCTTTTTTTCAAATGGCTAAGGTAAACAAGCGATGGTCAAGCCAATCCGACACATATCTCAATGTTTCCTGAAAAAAAACTGCATGTACTAGTTGAAGATCTCCATTTTTGGCATCAACTGGCTTAATCCGAATCAGCAGAGGTGAGCTTCATTTGATGTCTGAAAAGCTTTGCAATATTGTGGAAATAGGTCAGCAAAAATCCAATGCAAGATAAAGTTGGTTCCTACTAGATGTTGGAGGGTTCACTTGACTGACCACCTCAGCGGGCGAGCGACTTGCTTCAGCCCTACCCCGAACAAAATCGCACTCAGCGTGCTTCAGGTCCACTTGCCGGAGCAACCATGTCATACAGCGATTTAAAAAAACGTTCTCTTTTGAGTGTTCTCTTGAAAAGGTGACTTTTCAATAGTAGGCAGTTGACCCCACCATCAGGCAAACTTGGCTTATAGTGTCTCACACCAAGCAAACGGTCTCACTGTTCACTTCCAGCTGGTACTTCAAACACATCACGGGTCGAATCGGCACGATGAGCTTTGCTCCCTTCTCGGTGGCACCAGCGGCATCTATCCTTGGGGCAGCAGTGAATCCCACTAAGAAATTCAATGGGGCCCAGCAAAGGAATATACATTTCCAGGGGACATCAAGGGACATATAGAGGGAAAAAACCGAGCGGCCTGCATCGCCACGCAAGGACCAAGTTGTCGGCACCCTTCACGGCCGGAATTGAGACAAAGGCCCCGAAGTTGCGGGATGTGATCACCGGCTTTTTCTTCTTCTTCTCCTTTTCCTTCTTGGTTGCATCCTGCTGTCCGTCATCCACTGGTTCGTCCATTACGAAGACGAGTGGCTTCACTGATTTGAAGTTTCCATCACCATCACGTTCATGGTGACTTAGCTCAATTTTCACCTCAGGGGGGTCAACTCATGTCAGTGTCAAAGTAAAATCCCAGATTCCACTTAACAGGCTTAAAATGGCCTAGCCAAATTTGAAGCCACCCTTAGCCTCACCAAGATCTTCCAAATCGTTGATCAGGGACTGGAGTGTCACTGCGACGTCAGTGTTTGGCAAGGCCTGGAGGTGTGTGGGTAAGGTTCGCTTCTCTAGGATCATGAAGTCGGTTCGACTGATGTTGAATGCAAACCAACGCCCTTCTGCGTTCTGAGTCACTTCACCAGCTTCCTTGCTTTTCAGTTTGACCCCGCTGGATTATGTTATTGTTTGGTGAGGTGCTGGTCAGGATTTGGTAATACGGTTTGATTTGGGAAGAATATGAAAAGTGTTGACTTGGCTGACAAAGCACAGCTCCATCCCTCCATTCGCCACTTCCATAGCCCCACCTGGGTTTGATATACAAGTAAAGATCCGACATTCAACTGCATTAAAGAGGGCCTTAAAAGTCATACATTCACAGCTGATTCCAAACATGTTTCGACCACCACCGGGCTTTTTGTGCGAAGGTTTTGTTATCCACCCATTTCCCCAAAATGGATTTTCTTAGGGAGGACTATAAGCCAAGGAGCATCTCACGCAATTGAAAGAATTGGTTTTGGTTCCTTGAAGATATGTAGATCTTGTCTTCACCGGAAATCAGATCGCATGTGTTGTTCAGCTGCAGCACCTTCCTGAATTTGCCACGAACCACCCGGTAAACACATGGCTTAGTAGGGGCTACTGGGGAAGTGATATGTTTTTGAACCAGGGACTTCCACAGAACAGCACAGAAATAAAAATAGATAGCACGTCATCAAACAAAATCGAAGATTCGACTGGACCAACTTTGAAACCACCTCGGTTTTGCAGGCCTCAAGCTTGATCCGCTTCGCAGGTCTTTCCAAAGGGTCATCTTCCGATGCTCCTGTCCTTGCTTCAGTCCTGGAGTGTGGCTGAACAAGTCCGGATAAGAACTCCTATCAAAACAAGATAACATATCTTGGAGGTGAACTTTGTGGGCTTATATTTCATGTCAGAGCTGGGATTGATGTGCTGAATTCCAGGAAGCAGTGGCTCACTACTGGTTACAAAACCCCAAGCTGAACCACGATACAGGCAAGTCAGTATTACTTTGAAAATTGGAGGGTTGCTACTAGCAAGTGTGAAGCCATATGACCAGTTTTGTTCCACCCATACCTTTCTGCGGCGAGCACAAACTCACCAGAGGCATTGAACTCGTCGTTGTGCGCAGTGATCACATCGCGTGCCTGTTGTTCAAACTCTGGATCCTCGAGCCACTTCTTTGCCATGCTTTCTAGGACAAGGAGTTGGTCATGTCGTTGTGAGCTCACCCGATAACTCTTCGCTGTATCAGTGGCACTGCCATTCCGCAACGCATTGAGCACAGGATCGAAATTGGGGAACGAGCTGATCTGCAAATTGCCAGCCCGTGCTTGCTCGTAAACTGCATTGCTGAGTCGGGTCAGCAAGTCCTGCCCGCTGTTGTCGAGGCAGAGCGTTGCGCAAACGCACTCCCTGCCCTCTTGGATTTCCTGAATGGTTCTTTGTATGGCAAAACCCCGACATAGTTTGTTGGAACTTTTGGGCTAAAGGCCATATTCTACTTTCCCCCTCAAAAACCAAAAACGCTGCTAATTTGTGACTGATTATCCTGCAGGCAGGCCAGGGCAGCCCAGCCGTCGTAGCCGTACAAATCCACCAGCACATTTGTTTTCGAGGAGCGGATTTGGAATGCGTCCAGAGTTTTCTGTACGAAGTCGGTCCCCGCAGCTACCTGGCGCAGAATCAAACTTTCAGGGAACCGATGGCCTTCAATTGAAAAAACAGCCTCCCCACGTGTCAAGTGACTTTGTGTGAAACCACAGGATAAGTCATAGTATTCCTAAAGAAGCGCAAGGACAATAAGTATCATAAGGCACCCAAAGAATCCCAAGGACAGGTATCATAAGGTTCCTATAGAATCTGCAGGATAATTATAATAAGGTACCTGAAAAGAATCCCAAGGATAATAAGTATCATAGGGTTCCTCAAAAATAAGATAACTATCACTGGGTAATAGGGTTCCTTAAGATCGTGGTGGCCCCAAGCACGCTTAGGGCCAGCATAGATTGGCAACTGGTAAATCCATATGCGCATGTTCCCTGGCACCTGTTTCTGCTCCTGAACATCCGTGAATGCTCGGCCAAGGTGTGGTACAGAATGTATACCAGGCGATGCCTTGCAGGCAGGGTTGCGGTAGAGATTTTTCCTCTAACCCGAGGGCGACAAGAAGCATTCTTCCCAAACACAAAATTTACTTTGGGGTTTGATGTCAAAACAAATTTGGCAAGTTGCTTGCTCTGGCTTGTACATTTCTGACCGTGGACACATACCAATTCCGTGCACAGCTCCCGTCTTCCAGCCCTTGGTGGTGTGGAACAAATTCCTGGAATCTCTGTGGGTAATGGCTAGCCCTGTCAGCACCCCGTCGCGCTTGCCGTAGACTGTCGCCTGTCAGGTTCAATGAAATATACGATCTTTTCTCCTAATAGCTAAAGGGTTTTGAAATATAAGAACAATGAGATATCAATTATAGATATTTGACTGGGATTCTTGAGGAAATCACAAAATTAAAGCCAAATGGCCGGGTCGAAGATCCACGTCATTGGCCGGACTTTCAAATTTCGGTCTTTCATGGACAATTGCGTCCTCAGATTGAAAATGACTGATCGCTCGAAAGTAACCCATTAGAGATAATTAATGCCCCCCCCCCTCATTGCCACAGCTTCACACCCAAAAAAGGTCGGGGAAACCAAACAGTGTCAAACAAGTGTCTCCAAGTTGTACCTGATGTCCCGAACTTGAATTTCCTCGGACTCTTCCACTGATTTGATGCCCGGGCAATTCTCATCCTCACTTTCGTCCATTTTGACATTCGATTCCTCTTTCTTCTCTACCGCTTCTTGCTTCACAGGCTTCCTGCAGGGGCGTGGCATGGCCCTCAAACGGAGAAATCTGGTGTTGAGCTGGTGGCGGATAAAACGCAAAGATGAATGCATTTCTTTACTGTTTGCTTTGGAGGTACGAGACATACTTGGTGCTTTTTCTATCAGCTCACCGAATCATTTTTTTCAAATCCAACACAACCTTTTTTTGTGTGTGTGTAAACAATCCTGTCTTGGCTTGCCCGATTCGGGTGTACCAGCAAGCATATCGAGTTGACCGGGTAGTCACTGAGAATGTTGCAGATGTAGGTGATCATGAACCCTTTGAAGGCTGCCGACATGATGCCAACCACAGGACATTGCATGAGCACAATGATGCTGTGGTCGTCAGCTGCCCCATTTGACACCTATTTTCTGAAACAACACCCAAGAAATCGATGGTCAACAATTTTATTCAGAACAACCTTTACTGACTTAAGTGGATGTTGTTTTTTGTCTTGGGGATGAAAAAAATTGACCCTTACACACCCACCTCCATCACCGTGTCTCGCAACCACGATCTGCTGGCCGGCATAAGCGTCTGCTCCGCTTCCAAGGTGCGGCCGGACAACACCTTGATGTGGTTCTGCATGTAGGAGGCCACTGCGTCCCAAGCCCTTGTGTGGCAGTCCTGCAGAATGGGATTCAACATAGAATATATTTATATTATAAATTTGTTTATTTATTTATACTGCCCACCATCAATTTTCACTATTTCCTATGGGGTGCAAGATATCATGAAGGATGTGATGTTTTGAAGAACCCGAAGCGCCATAAAAGGATGGGAATATCATTGAAGATTGAATTTTGATTTTGGGCATAATGTTTGTTTGTCCTCCAGCTGCTTGACCAACTTGGCACGTTGACGGACACCTTCTTTCTCAGCCCTCGGAGACGGCATGGGGTAAGAACATAAAAAACCTTGGACCCCCCAACTGGTGTAGCACCAAGCAATTCCCTGTGCTGTGTCCAGGTCCTCCAAAAAGAAAAAATGTGGGCCAACAATTTGCAACATGTAAGGGGTTTGACTTTGAGCTTCAAAATCCAAAGAGAAGTTGTAGGCAAGATTCAACACTTTGTCCGAAGAAAATTGAGCTTGGTCCGCCCGGAGTTCCTCAACCCATGCGTTGAATGCTGCCTGCATGCTCCGCCGCAGGGCATTCTTGCTTTGATCCTGGTGCTTCTCCACGTATCCAGCAAGGCTTGTGCCATGGGCCTACAGGGCCATTGCAGCATGCCAAAAAGAATCTCGAGGGCAATTTGGTTGAGATACGATATTGATGATAATTGTTGTACTAAACTGAAACTTCTTAGCAAAAAGCAAAGTGGGTTTGCACCAACAAGCCTCCAAGATGAAGCTCACCCGGTTCCAGTCAAAGTCTGGCTCCCCAGCTTTCATCACTGAAGAAAGATCTGAATCCAAATGCCTCAGATCACGGCATCTACGTACATGGTAATTAGGAGGACATACTACTCTATAGTTTAAATATAGATTTATTGTGTATATATATATACTATATACTATATGATATGAATATACGTATATATATATTATATTATATATATATTTATGTGAGATATATACACATTATATATATATTATTTACTTTAACATATTAACATACATATACACAAATAATAAATGTATAAGATAATGCATATATAAATTTAAAATATAACAACATATTATAACTATAATATTGTATTATACAATTTGTATTCAACATAATAATCCGCCGGCCTGCCGGCGTGTTTTGTAGACGTTCTTGTGATGCATCTTGTGATAGCTTTAGCTTCACCTATAGTTGCTCCTTCGACAGATTTTTGCTTTCGCTGTCCTACCCCCCACCCCCCATTCTCCCCCCGCCCCCTAGTATCGCATAGTAAAGTCTAGTCTGGTAACGCCAAGTTCAGTAAAGGCTAGTATGGTCTAGTATAGTCTCGTGTCGTCTCGTCTCTTTTCTGAAGCTACCTAGCACTGACCTTATTTACATCATCATTGTCTCGGTGGTCATCGTCACCACCATCATCATCATCATCGTCATCGTCATCATCATCAGGTTCATCTTCTTCTTCCGGCTCGCCCTGGGATGAAGCATTTTTCCACTTTTTCTCCACATTTTACAGCCCGTTCTCGCACATGCGATGCAGCATTTCTCCATGATCCCCTTCCAGCCAGAAGTAAATATGTTCTAACCTGCCGCTTTTGCGCCCAACACTTTCCATACGCGCCTGCCACTCCTGCTCTTCCTCTGCATTCACGGCCTTCACCGCATGCCCTCTCACAGCCATGCTGTTTGCATGTACCAACTTCGCTCTTTTCTGTTTAACACCTTAAGGTCTTACACATGCCAGCCAAACAAACAAACATTTTCACCAGCCAGCTTTTACACCAACCAGCTTTTTACACAAACCCATTTTTTTACAAATTGGCTTTTACACCAACCAGCTGTTACACAAACGAGCTTTTACACGCACCAGCTTCTACGCAAACCAACTTTTCGACCAACCAGCTTTTACACAAACCACGTTTTGCACCAACCAACCTTTACACACCCATAATTACACAAACCAGTTTTTACACAAACCAGCTTTTGCACAAACCAACTTTTGGACAAACCACCTTTTACGCAAACCACCTTTTACAGCGAGCAGCTTTACACAACCCCTGCTTTGGGCCTGTAAGCCAAGGGCCAGAGGGCCGGCGGAATGCCGAAGGCTGTTACATGTATGAGGGATGTATATTCAAGAATTATATGATAAGTGATGCATTTAATATCATCGTGATAGTTATTTCCGAAATTTACGCATGGTACATATCCATTAAAAAAACACATCAAACTTTACCCTTGGATTCCAACTTAAAAACGCGACGCGGTTTCCAGAAACCACATCACGATATCAGCCTTTTCCAGGCTACCCATGATTGGGGGAATTGATTTGGACATGCTTGGAAATGATTGCCCCCCTCGAAAGCCAGCAATTTGCGACGCGGTTTCCAGAAACCACATCACAATCTGAAGTTATTTTTTCGATCCCAAAAATGATTGACCTGGCTGGCCAAATTTTTTCGGCCAGACCATCAGATTTGCGACGTGGTTTCTGGAAACCACATCACAATTTGTCACCTTTGGCCAAAAAAATTCGGCAACCAATCACAATTTTGTCCCCTTGGCCAAAAAAATTCGGCAACCAATCACAATTTTGCTCCCTTGGCCAAAAAAATTTGGCAACCAATCACCCTGTTCTTCAAAAAAATGGCAACCAATAGTTAGTTTAATCCTGCAGCGCTGTAGGCTCTTAGCCAAAGCATTTGAAAATTTTGGGACCCTGGCCCAACAGGAAAACTGCTTTGCCGTGTGAAGGTAAGCAACCCTTCATCAAATAGTTTGTCGTGCTTCTCCACCACCTCCCCGTTGAAGGTAGTTACCATCTTCTTCCGCATCCAAGTCCACAAGCAGCAGTTGTCAAACAGCACCAGGTGCGCATCTTCCGACAATTGGTGTTGTTTCTGGCCAGGTGCCCAAAACTGATTATTATTCAATGTTGTGTTTTCTAAAGAACAAGAAATGCAGGGGTTGTTTGAAACCCCGTCCTTCGCTTTGACGGTGGCTTCCCTGGATGCCCTTCTGGAAAAATCCTGGCACGGCTTCGAAATCCGCCCGCACCGAAGGTGCTGAGGTGTGGTACAGTTTAGCAGTGGGTGCGACCGGACTGGGTGTTCGCCCCTGCGCCGCCAAAAGTCGGTTCCCCGATTTCCCGCTATAGTACTTTGCACATTTTGCAGATCAGCCCAAAATCCGCCAAATGCACCGTGTCGATCTGACGGCCGCAACATGGGCTCCACTGGGGCCAACTTCGGCCAACAAGGCCTCAACCCAACTTCGGCCCAACTTGGAAGGAAAATGGTGCAACTTGCCCCCAAGTGGAACCTGTTTGAGAGCAACTTCGGCCCAAGTATCGTCAAAACACGCGTTTTCACTGGCATCCATGATGCTTAGTGTTGAGGCTGTCACCACAGGATACTATAACTCGTGCCACTTTGGACGTGACTTGGGCCTCCATGCGCTTCAGCCCAATTGGCTGCAGATTGGGCTCCAGTTGGGTCGAAGATAGCTCAGCTTGAACCCAAGTTAGGTTTTTTTGGGGGGGCAGCCCAGGCCAAAGGTGGGAGCCAATTTTGCGGACTCAGCGACTCAGCGATATTTTTTTGGCTTGGATGGGGGCCCGTGACCAAGCCATGTTGCCCACATTGGGCCGGTCTTGGGCCCAACTTCTGCGACAGGACCAAGTTGCGCACGTTAAGCCCAACTTGCGTCTAAATGTGCCCGCATTGCGCCATGTTGGACCTTGGTTGGGCTGAAGTTGGGGCCAACTGGCCCAAGTTCGGCGCAAGTTAGGCCCCAAGTCGGGCCCAAGTGGGCTCCTTTTCAGCCAAACTTAAGACCAAGGACGGCCAAGTTTTTTGACCCAAATCAGCTTTGGTTGGGCCAGGTACTCTCTATCCAGTTCTCTGGGTGTGGGTGCTTGGGAATCCAGGAAAACTCATATACAGGAAAACCATGCAAAGACGCTGCATGTGGTGTCCTGAATGACACGGTCAAAGTACATCATGGTGATCTCAGGTGTCACCTCCAAGATTTCCGCAAAGATTTCTTTTCCCCGATATCGATCGAATTCCTTCCGGGAGCAAGAGCCAGGAACAAAGTAGTCTGCCTGCAGCAGCTCATGGGGTACTCCTGTTCAGGGATCGTTTCAGATAGACCTTGGCCCCCGACATGGTGTTTTATTTTTTGAACACAAGGTAGACCAAACCCAGCATGTGCCCACAATTATTCTCTCCTGAATTCTCAGCCTTGTAATGATCATAATGCTGATGCAGCTTCGTCAGCAAGGCAGATGGGCACCGCATCCTGGATCGTGCAAGCTGTCAAGGCCAGAAAGCTCAGTGGCGTTGGACCAGGTTGGAAAATCCCAGGGAAATACAAACCATTTGAAAAAGGCATAGTAAGGCTAAGCTTTTCCCTAGGGTCAAGTTGAGGGCCAAAGCTTTCCGGGCAGAGTCTAAGCGGTGTTTCTTGTTGGAAGCAAACCTGTTGTACTCTGCTACAATTTTGTTCAACATGTCCCGCAGGGGAGTATTTTTTTGGAATGCGTTTGGCGTCGCTGGAGATCGATTGCGTGCTGCAGCTCTGCAACTATTTGCACCGGTGATGGCCCTTGTTTCTCTGCAGACACATAGCCCGTTTCTTAGCATTCAAGGAACTGGCCACAAGAAAGAGCCTAGCACATTGTAAAACAGGTTGTTGCCCAAAACTTGCCTCGGGACAAAGATGAGGGTACAATAAAAACATTGAAAGATGATAGAAAAGGATCTGAGCGAATGGAGGAAGAAATGGGCTGGGTTCTCATAGTGCTGGTAGCTGCAGCGGAGCTGGGAGAAGCTACCTAAGACCATTCGAAGTTGCGGATCAGAAAGTTCGTCCCTGCCAAAGTCCAACTCCTTCACCATCACCACGATGGTCATCATTATGATGATTTTGCAAAAACCATCAGTGACTCCCACCGTGAAATCGCCAATCTCTCGCGAAG